TAGTACCAGAATCGCAAGGATATGAATCAACTTTTTTAATTGACCTACTAATTGACCCACCCTAATATATATATATGTGTATATGTGTATACATATGTATGTGTGCTTATATTCATGTAGTTAGACGTATAAGTACATACCCTGCAGGGAAATCGCGGACTAGTGAAACAAATTTCTAGTTCCGTACTAGATCTCTATCGCCAAATGCCAGACCGATAGTAAGTAGATCCCCACCAATCCAAAATCAGCGGAATGTGGTACTTTTAAGAAACTATTTCCTTTCAATTTTTCCATTACAAATCTATATCTAAGGTGACGAATTTAGAATTGGTTCGGAACTATGGAAAAAGGAATGCAGAACGAATAAGATCTTATCTGTCGAATTTAGTTCGAAACTATTGTAAAAAGGATGCAGCGGGCTAGTTTACTTTACACAGATATGTATTTGGCGCCTTTTTCGTTCAAATACGCTTCCCATCTGCACTTCGCAGATGCTTTTTCATAGCTTAAGTAGTAATACAAAGTAAAAATTTATGGTAACATATTAACATAAGATCTGCTTCAGTTGAAATCTGCCAGCACTCTACACAGCACAACTTTGTTATGGACTACTCGATCAGCCGTTTATTTAGTGTTCTGGTTTTGCTATTGTTGTTTTTTATTAATTAACTTTAAAAATAAGTGATGTGGAGAGCAAAGAACTTCAGCAAAGAAAATTGAATTTGCAAGATTTCATGCAAAATCCACTCATCTCGCAATGTCGGTTAGTAAAATTGCTGAAAATTGGAAGGTCGATGGTCCAAAATGTATTGTCAAATATCCAGAAAAATGACAGCATTGAGAGAAAGGCGGAATCTGGCGGAAAATCAGACAGTATAAATAAAATAGCGGAGAAGGATATTCTAAGGGCTTTGAAAAGGAATCCGAATATTTCTGAACGTGTTGTTGCACCTGGAGTGTTGTTCTGAGAGCCTGTATTGTTTTGGCCTGATCTGGCAACAAGCCATTGTGCAAAAAAGCGCAAGAGTTTTATACACAAAATGGAATCAACATTGTACTAAAAGAGGCCAATCCTCCGAATTGCCCAGAGCTGCAAACGATCGAGCGTTATCGGACCCATATGAAATCAAAATTAGAAAAAAAAAACACAAAATACACGGCTTCAAGAATAACGCAGTTCGAAAACAGGCTGAATCGATCAACGAAAGGGATGTACAAGTATTAATGGCGGGTGTCGTCTCTAAAGTACGGGTATTTTGGCGTGGAAATTAATTCTAATAATATTTGTAAATCTTTTATTTAAATAGAAATAAAAGAAGGTTCTAAAAAAGTTTCGGCTGAATTATTCACATTTAAATTAGTTTTTTTGCTATTTACTACCTGCCAGATTTCAACTGAAGCAGATCTTATTGGGATCTTCTGGAATCTAACCAATAACAGCAAGCACCTCTGCAAACTCAGCTGCAGCTAAAGGAATGTAAACGTACATTTCTTACAATCATTCAAACAAATTTAATTTCAAATTGAAAACACATTTCTTTGAAAATAATTAAAAATCGCACACAAATGTCTGTCGATTTTAGAACTGGTTCGGCACTATAGAATTTAGGAACTATAGAAAAAGTGCTGCCGCGGGGCAATTGACACTTCCCAGGACATCGCCATGTTGTTTGCACCAGTGCTGTGTCTAAATTTAATAGAAGCGCACCAGTTCGGAACTAGGGATTTTCCCAATAGTAGCACAGAATTAGCAAAAATATATATAAATGTAGCGAACTATTCAATGAGTTATGCCTGGAGTAAAGGAAAGCTACACTGAGCGTAAGAAATATTAAAATCATATAGAAACGTAATTGATCTTACTATANCATTTTTGGACTCTCTCTGGTCTAGTTACAAAACTACTATACCTACGACTATATTTTTCGAGCAATCGGACCAATCTTTCCTTCAGGGNCGCACACAAATGTCTGTCGATTTTAGAACTGGTTCGGCACTATAGAATTTAGGAACTATAGAAAAAGTGCTGCCGCGGGGCAATTGACACTTCCCAGGACATCGCCATGTTGTTTGCACCAGTGCTGTGTCTAAATTTAATAGAAGCGCACCAGTTCGGAACTAGGGATTTTCCCAATAGTAGCACAGAATTAGCAAAAATATATATAAATGTAGCGAACTATTCAATGAGTTATGCCTGGAGTAAAGGAAAGCTACACTGAGCGTAAGAAATATTAAAATCATATAGAAACGTAATTGATCTTACTATAAATGTCAACGAAAGTACTGTATATTAGTAAATATTCAATTCAATTATGCGCATATTAAAATTACCGCGTTCGTTCTGGATATCAACAAATTGTGACAAGCATCTTTGCGCACTCAGCTACAGCCAGACATATAAATGTGCTTTAAAATGTTGGGTTTCCATCAACACCACAGCACGCAATTTGTACGGATAAACACCCTGTCGGATCTCGGAATAGACTTAGAACACACCAAAAACTAGACTGCAAGTGATTGTAAGTAGTCCAAAGTTTGGTCCTAGAACATGTAAAATTCTATTTACATTTAACATTGAATGTCCTAGGCTCGGACCAATTGTCCGCTTCTGCATTACATTGTAACCAATTTTGGGGAAAAAACAAAAATAAAACTTGCGCCAGCTGCGATTCGAACCGGGGTTCTCAGATTTTCTGAGCGGATACTCTCTCTACATGCCAACGCCGCACATGAAAATTCGTTGACTAAGTGCCTACATATCAGTAAATCAATCATACCCATTGTCCACTACTGCGTGACATTGTAACCAATTTTAGAACAAAACTTATACTTATGCATTACATTCGGAGTACTTTTAGTACGATTCACCTGTTTTACATTACATTGCTTTAAATTTTTGGACTATCTTTGGTCTAGATACACAACTACTATACCTACGACTATATTTTTCGAGCAATCGGACCAATCTTTCCTTCAGGACATGTACTATGTATGTATGTGTGTGTCACCGCACAGCATGCTGGGTATGCGTATGTACACTCGTCCTTTAAAGTACACAACCGCGTATCAACAAAATGCAAAACCGCGTACCAAGATAATTCAAACACTCATATTTCAAAATGGTTCTCTTTTTTATAAAGCAATAGCACTTCTGGCTAGTATATTTCAGGGTGAGCAAATTTAATTTTTGGCAGCCAATGTCAATTACGCGGTTTTGCAGAATGACGATACGCGGGTCTGTACTTTAAACGACGATATACATAATCAGATGTGAACAGTCAAATACGTACGTAATAAATTTATGTATGAAAATATTATTTTTAAATACGAACATTTTTAAACCATAATCAAACATAAAGTTTTCATTTTAACTACGCATTATAATCGCTTTTCCAATAGAATTCTTCCAAAAATTCGTATCGAAAAGAAAATTCAAAATACTTGTCGCCATATTGTTACAGAATAGCTCTACCGATCTCTATATATCTATATTCAAAGAAATGCTGAAAGCAAACATTTTTTAACAGTTGACATTGCACACATTCTGTTCGCCTTTTCCGTTTACTAATGAGTGAAAATCTCTCAAGTGGGCCACCCAAAATTGGACGGTCAAGATTTTTTCGAACAAATCACTTTATCCGGTTTACAACCATCAAAAGATATATATAAAATAAGCAATTTTGCAAAATTCGCAGTTTTACAATGTTTATTGTTAATAACTTTTTTTTGATGAATTCAGTAATTATTTATTATCCACTGATTCATAGCATGCGTCTTGCTAATTTTTTTCATGATAATAGTTAATTAGACATGCTTTAACCTCAATTCAATTTTTCAAAAAATCATTATTTTGTACAAAATTTTTAATTTTTTATAAAAAATTTGTATAAACAAATGGAAATATTCATTACTTGTCGATCAGATTTTGTAATCGTTTACACTGAGTATCAATCCTTATTCTATAATGCATTATTTAAAAGAAAAGAAAAAAAACGCGGAAACTTACGGAGTCGCTAGTTATTAATTTTTTTCGCCCCTGTCACGGGGGCTTTTGCTTTCATGCCGCGAGTCGCGCGGACTCACATAAGCATAGATCATTTAAAAAAATATTTTTTAAAGTTGTATACATAAATATGTACATACATAACATGCATATGTACATATGTCATTGAACAACAATCCACAAATACATTTTTTCACCAAGGATTATATTTCGTTTAGGTATACAGCATACTGCTACAAGTAGCAAACTATTTTGGGGGTCTTAAAAAGTGTTTAGTTGTTTTTTGTTTCTGCGTCACAATCGATTATACCATCCTCTTTACTTATTTTTCTCTATAAAGACAAAATACATGCATATGTACATTTTTATGTATGCAACTTTAAAAAACATTGTATTAAATAATCTATGCTTTGTATATAAATAAATTTTATTTTTTTCCGTTCTCTGGTTGCACCACACTCGCTGCGAGTCCGCGCAGCACGCGGCTCGAAAGCAAAAGCACCCGTGGCAGGAGCGAAAAATTTATAACTTTTGACTGCATGCAAGTTTCCGTGTTTTTTTCTTCTTTCAAATAATGTATTATAGAATAAGGTTTGATATTCAATGTAAACGATTAAAAAATCTGATCGAGAAGTAATAAATATTTCCATTTGTTTATACAAATTTTTTATAAAAAATTAAAAATTTTGTACAAAATAATGATTTTGAAAAATTTAAACAATCAGGTTAAAGCGTGTCTAATTAGCTATTATCGTGCAAAAAATCAGCAAGACACATGCTATGAATCAGTAGATAATAATTACTGAATTCATCAAAAAAAGTTAATAACAATAACTCTTGTAAAAATTCGAATTTTGTAAAATTGTTCAAATTATACTTTTTTATGGTTGTAAACCGAATAAAGGGATTTGTTTGAAAAAATCTTGACCATCCAATTTTGGGTGGCCCACTTGAGAGATTTTCACTCTAACAAAAGTCACTGTAACATAATATGTACATAGCGTTCAAATAATATATATGTATATATTTTTGACACTTCAACTACATATCCCATTAAATACAAAAACAAATGCAGCTGCGTTCCTTATAAAGCGACCAAGATCAAAGAGCATATGAAATTCATTCCCATTCGGTAGTACCCGGCGGCTTTGATGTCAAATCGTAAAGAACTCTTGAGATGCCATCTAATTTGGATATGTCGTGTACAATGTTGTTTAGCACCTTTAAAGAAACAAAAATAATTTTGTTAGTGATTTAAAATAAATTTTTATATAACGATAGGCGGTTCAAATATGTATAAACATCTTATCATATCGCATAATTAAAATGGCTTAAAAATGAATTAAAAACCCGGGTTCGGAAATTCTCATTTATGATTACTCGTTTTCATTCATTTATGAGATTTATCATGATCGAGAAAGTTGCAAATCTATTTTTGCATTCCTTTATCGCGAATGACAAATGCAAAGGAATTTATCATATCTCGTATTCGGAATGCGATCAACAAAAAATGTTCCGCGGCCTTTCACTCGCGAACGAAAAAAGCGACAAAATTTCTTCTCACTCGAATATGAGAAGTCCGAGCATTGTCGATGTCGGCCGCTCATAAATGGGAAAATAACAATATATAGGCGCTTACACATATGTTAGTGTTGTTCACCTCCGATTTGTGGCGTGTGGCGTGCGCCTTGATGTTGTCACACAAAGGGGGGACCTAAAGTTTTACGGCGACTCCAAACGGCGATTGTATTTTCATGAGAAGCTGTTTTTCATGGCAGAAATATACTCGGAGGTTTGCCATTGCCTGCCGAGGGGCGACCGCTGTTAAGAAAAAATATTTTTTCTATATTTTTTTGCGAGGCTTCTTTGACCAGGGCTTGAACCCAGGCCCTGCGGAGTGGAAGCGCGCACTGCTTACCACTATACCACAGCGGACGCCGAAAACGATGCAGTAATCCCTTCGCGATCACTCACAACCACGGTCGCCACATACATCTTTTTTCGTGTACCAAAAACTGCACTAAAATGTAAAAAAAAAATAGCAGAATATGTTTAGCTTTAGTTTAAATATTGTTATTGAGCTTTGGTCCATGATTGTTTATTAGGAAAAATGGAAACAGCAACAAAGTCTAAACGGTAGAAGTTATAGCAGCTATTTCGGAGATCATCACAATCGTGGGGTAAAGCTCAATAGCAATATTTAAATAATAAACCACAATAAAACTGACAAATACAATGTTTAGCTTTAGATTTAATTATTCAAACATTTTATAAATGCACATTGATGATATATGTAGCTAATACAATTTTTGGGTATGTTTGTGAACTATTTTATAATGCTGGAACATACCTTACTTAAGACAAATTCTATGTAAAAACAGACAAATAGTTTTTTATTGTAAACTTAGGCACTCTCCACATTGCGCGCCTAATCATAGTAGAGTAATCGTTTCGTCATGCCGAAACGAATGCATAACGACCGGACTTCTGCACACTTGCACGCCCTGCATAAGTCACCAGCTAATAAACACTTTCTAAACACATAACACATTTTCTGGCCGTTCTATCGCAACTACACACTTCTGCAAATACTTCTGCAGCGAAATATTGCATAAACGCTTGTAGTTTAATACAATTTGGACGAATTTTAGCACGAAATCTTTTATTTTTTGATTTATTTCATATAGAAATGACACATCATTTTTATTTCCAACACAGAAAAAGTAAACAAATGACGATTTCAAATCGGCAAGCGCCTTACAATTTAGGGCGCTTCGATTCATGAAGCTTTTATGATTAGGCGAAAATATGATTATGAATCGCAATGTACAGAGCTTCATTGAAATACATGTGTTCGGCATAAAAGCTGCACTACTACACTGTACAGCACTTGGCTGGGTATTGGACCAAACCAACTTTTTTTTAAGAGACTGAGTCATAAGTAAAAAAAGGATTTTCTCCGTTTTTCGAAGTTAGCCTCCGAAATCGAGATATGGGCCTTCGAAGTTCGAAATTGGACCTTTGGTAAAAAATAATTTTTAATTATTATATGTAAAAAGCAAAAAAAGTAAAAATACAAACGTGGTCCTCCTTTTGCTCTTATTTATATGGTATATAAATTTTTTTGTGAAAACTTATATTACAGGTACTATAACGGGTCAAAAGTCAGATCTTCGAAAAATTAAAAACTTAATATTTCAGAAAATATTGAACTGATTTTTTTGAAAATCGTATCGTTGTAAAGGTGATTTAACCCCCTTTCTTGTGGTATGCATATTTGTATACTTCGTATATAAAAATTTGAGAAAAAACACATTTAAATGAAAAAATAACTTACACGGGTAAAATGACATACAAACTGGCCAAGGTCTTCCAAAAATTCAACATTCGCACATCGTTCAGAACCAGAAAAAACGTTGGAAGGATACTGAACAACAGCACAAACGAAGAGGACACTCTAGATAAGCAGGGTGTATACAAATTAACGTGTGAATGCAGGTGTAGCTACATAGGGCAAACTGGCCGTAAGATTGAAACAAGATTCCGAGAACATATAAGAGACTACAATAAGAGGACACAAAAACCAAGCGTCATACCAGAATTAAACTTCGCAAATCATATGCTCGAAAATAAATGTACACCAATGAAAAGTAATAAGGCAGCCAAACTCCTCCATGTACAGCATAAAGGACGGCGTTTGAACATATTGGAAAACATGGAGATATACAAGCAGAAAACATTTCAAGGGAGAATTATAAACGAACAAACAAACACCGTATCCGATGTAATATTGGAACCACTCAAGATGTTGTATGAAAAATATGAGAAGACCCCTGAAAAAAACGCCAACGCGAAGATACATACCTACGCCGCAGAGACCAAGATAATGAAAATAACGGATTTCTATCTGCCGGTACAAGCAATCAACCTAACACCTGCTAAATAACGGAACATAAACCGACGCAATCACAAAAACCAAGAAAATAAAAATAACGTATTTCTACCCGACGGCGAATACCGGCAACCAACACCTGTGAGATAATGAAACAAAAGCGGTCGCACTTAGATGGGTATGCATGNGTATATAAAAATGTTGTGCTCCTTTGTCACGGTCATCGAAACTCGAGAACCGCTGAACTGATTTGAATAACCTAATGACAGTTAAAACAGATAGTAACACGAATACATAACTAGTAATTTTTAGCAAAAAAAAAAAACCGACTTCAACTCCCATATAAAAAAAAAATATATATATATATCTCATGATCCGCTGATCGGATCTTAACCTGACACTACCTTTCCGATGCAAAATTATCGAAATCGGTTGACGTGGTCCAAAGTTATGCGGTAACATACATAAAAAAAAAAACAAAAAAAAAAAAGATTCCGACGAACTGATAACCTCCTCCTTTTTTGGAAGTCGGTTAAAAAGCGGAAGGAAACACGAACTATTCAGAACGAAAAATGACACTGAAGATGGCACAACGCCGAAACCGGTTTGTTTCCAAACCAAATTAGACAAGGGATGACGGAAACTCGTTCCACAATACATCATACTCCTACCCTGTCGGAAACACAAACAACCAAAAAGAAAAAACAACCCTTTTTTTGTATAAAAAATATATTTTAAACAAAAAAATTACTAACCGATTTTTAAAAAATTGTTATCGTTGTAAAGGCTATTAAAACCCCTTTCTTTTTATATACATATTTGTATACTTTGTGAATAAAAATTTGAGAAAAAACAACTTTTTTATCAAAAAAATTTTAAACAAAAAATTACTCACCGATTTTTAAAAAATTGGCATCGTTGTTAAGGCGATTAAACCCCTTTCGTCTAATATGCATATTTGTATACTTCGTATATACAAATTTGAGAAAGAACACTTAAAAGGAAAATAAACAATTTTTTCTTATAAAAAAAAAATTTACAGAAAAGTTACTCATTGGTAATACAATTGAATACCATCTATATTAATAAAAATCTTGTGTTCGAATGTCACGGTCGTCAAAACTCGAGAACGGCTGAACCGATTTGAATGATTTTTTTTTTTGTATTGTTCGGTATAATACCAGAACCAATGATATCGCAAAAGATTGGAGGGTTGCCACCTATTTTAAAATTTTCAAACCCAATTATATTGATAAAATAAATAAATTATTACAATATGGGTATCAAATTAAAGAGTTTTAAGAAAGATAACTGCTGGAAATATTTTTGACGAGGGTTGCCACCTATTTGAAAATTTGAACTCAGACAAATTGATAAAATAAATGAATTTTTGCCATTGTAAAACTATAGAGTTTTAAGAAGGCGTACAGCCGAAAATATGTTTGAAGAGTGTTGCCACCTGTTTGAAAATTTAACTAAAGTAAATCGATAAAATGAATGAAATATTACATTATGGGTATCAAATTAAAGAGGTTTAAGAAAGATATCTGTTGCAAATATTTTGGAGAAGGGTTGCCACCAATTTTTAAATTTTAACTCAGTTAAATTGATAAAGTAAATTAAATATTGCTATGTGGATATCAAACTAAAGGATTTTAAGAAGGCTTACAGTCGAAAATATTTTAAAGGAGGGTTGCCACCTGTTAAAAAATTAAGCGCAATTTTATTGATAAACTAAATGATATATTACAATATAGATATTAAATTCAAGAGGTTTAAGAAAGATAGCTGCTGGAAATATTTTTGAGTAAAGTTGCCACATCTCTGAAAATTTAAACTCAGTTATTTTGATAAAATAAATGAAATACGGTAATTTGGGTATCAAACTTTAGATTTTTAAGAAGGATTACAGCCGAAAATATGCCTGAGGAGGGTTGCCACCTGTTTGAAAATTTAACTCAATATAATTGAAATAGGTATCAAATTAAAGAGGTTGAGGAAAGAAATCGTTAGGAAATACTTTTGTGCAGGATTGCCACCTATTTGAAAATTTTAACTCAGTTATATTGATTAAACAAATGAAATATTGCAATGTGGGTAACGAACTAAAGAGTTTTTAAAAGTCCTACAGTAGAAAGTTTCTTTAAAGAGGGTTGCCACCTGTTTGAACATTTATCTCAATTAAATTGGTAAAATAAATGAAATATTACAATATCGGTACCAAACTAAAGGCATTTAAAAATCTTGATTTAGAAATCTATATTTATGTATATAAAAATGTTGTGCTCCTTTGTCACGGTCATCGAAACTCGAGAACCGCTGAACTGAT